TCCAGTATCTCATGGTTTAGGGAGAGACTGATACTAATAACAACTAATGCAAACAATTTGCTGCATTAAACCAAATAGCTCTCTCGCAATGAAATCTACAATGTTGATTGTTATAATACTAAGAAATGATATGATCGGTTATTGTAACAATCAACATTCAGACAGCAGTAGGGTTTGGCTGTTGGCAAGAAAAAAGAGAAAAGTAGAAACAAAGGAAAATAGAACTTTGAAGGAGTCAATAAAAAGTCAATACAAAATATGTTAATCAAAATCCTACTTGAAAAAAAGAATACAGAGAACAAAAAAATAGTTACCTTCAAGAAATGATAAAAATTAAAGAAAGAAAAGCAGAAACAAATATGTATGTGTACAAATATATAAGGTTCCATTATTTGTCAATCAGTACACACTTAAAAACAAATCAAAACATAACAAAAACAAAAACAAAATGGTCAATGAGAGTTTTTGCCCACTGTCTGTGCCAAACTGCCTTTTTGTTTCTCAGCTTCCCATCTCAGCAGATGGTGTGAGGAACTGTGGAAGATGCTGGCAGCTTAACTTCCTGGGTATTGTCTGTAGGTTGCAATGAGTTGGTACAAGTGAAGCTCCTAGGGATGGGGATTTGGTCTGGTATTATTCCAGGTGTTTTATTATGTGGGGAGTTTTCTGGTGTTAATGAATCAACCTGCTTCTTGGATTGTATGCAACTACTCTTTGCAATACATCATCATCTGTGGGAAGAGGGAATCCTTCTTTCAACAGTTCTGTTTTTCTAGGATGTTGTGCATTTTTTTTGGCTTCTCCAGGACTGTTTCTGAGCCTTAAGTGCAGTCACTCCACCCTGCCCCCTTCAGTTTCTCCCTGCTGCTGGTCTTGAGGCTGTTGGCTGCCAGTTCAATGGAGTGGGGGAGGGGCACCATCTTTATCTGGCTCTTCTGATCTGTATTACTCCCAGGCAAAGTGGTCTCTATGCCAGAAATTCTCCATGTCAGAGATTCTCCTGATTTGCTAGGCTCACTTTAGGTCTCCGGATTCATGTGTTGATTTTAGCTCAAAACTCATGGGGCTCAGCTGCTGGTCTGAGTTTCCACCACTGTCTCAGGGAGGTATTAAAGTTTCCAGCTTGAGTTCTCCTTACACTGGGGGCAAACAGTGATATTTGAGTACCAGTTTATTGGGCTAAAAAGTCTTTGGGTTGGCCCAAGGTGGACTGTCTCTTTGATCCTGGGCTGCCCATGCCAAGATACAGATCTTTTCAGACCTTCCCCTCCCACACACACACTTTCCCATTGGGAGCTCACCTCCAATTCTGTTCCTTAGCTTTGTCTGATGTACCCCAAATCTCCATGACTTCAAGGCTCTCTGTCCAGTGTTGAGTATCAGTGGAGTGGTTTTTCCTTTGACTCACCTCCCAGAAAAGTAGTTTTCTTGCTATTTGAGTCCTGACCCAATCACAGAGCTATGAGAAAAGCAACTTGTGGTTAATTCGCCATCTTGTCTGTCCCCCAAACTATATAATTTTGATTATTTAGTGGGATTACAGTATCTTAAATAGGATTAAAATATGGTGGGAAGGCAAGAGAAAATTTTAAGTGTTTCAAAAATTATCAGAGGAGAGTCAAGAAATAGGGAACAGGTATAAGCTGTAAGAAAAAGGAATAATAAATTAACTGAAAGTATTGAAAAAGAATCAGAGGAGGAGGAAACAGGAAAATTTGGTTGTTACTGGGGGTAAGAGAAAGAAGAGGAGAAGACAGGAGAGCTCAGAACCTAGGTATTAATTAACCAGCAAAGGTAAGATTGAACCAACTCAAATGCTCACCTAAATCTAATCCTCATCTAAATCTAATCTAGGATAAATAATGAATACATGCAGGAGAGAACAATTAATGTGTAAATAAAGTTATATGAATATATATATATATATATATATATATATATACACAATATATCATATATATATAGTGCATATATATGCATATATGTATCCAAATTTATCTGTGCAGTGAGAGCATGCACAATCACACATGCACACCCACCTATACACAAAATTATACATAATAAGAAAAGTGAAAAATAACACTTTACAATGAAATCATGTTTGACAATTTTAAAAATGTTAAAATTTAAAAAATTTTAAAAATGGGGCTGGGGTTGTGGCTCAGTGGTAGAGTGCTTGCCTAATATATGTGAGGCCCTGGGTTCAATCCTCAGCACCACATATAAATAAACAAAGTTAAAAATCCATTGGCAACTAAAAACTATTTTAACAAAATAAATAAATAAATAAATAAAAACTGAGAATATAGAGAAAAAGAAAACAAAAAGCAATTCTTAATGAGAGAGGGCTTGCTTTAGCTCTGATGATCAAATATGTTGGCAGGGATGGATTTTTCAGTCTTTGTATTTATTTTTGGCTCTGTATTTTTGGCCACTGTCCTGTTCCTTCTCCTTACTGCCAGCCAGGTATAGTAGCTCCCAGCTTCCAATCTCCAGTATTAGGTGGAATAGACTACAAGTGCTCATGATTTGTGCTATCCTGCAGCAGGAGTGAGGCAGAGTTCTAGATTGGAGTTTCTGGTTGTTGGAGTTTGGTGCCTTTGGAACTCTGTTGATGGTTATTTGGTATTTGCTCCTGTTCTTGTGCAGATTTCTATCTCTGGTGTATTTCTGGATCCCTGGGGCTTACAGGAAAATTCACTTTTAGGGTGCAAGGACTTACCCTCCACTGAGTTAACCTTCCTTCTATGGATGTGAATTACCAGGTATCTGCCCTGGAGTGCAGATGCGCTTGTGTGGCTGCAGTAAGCCTCTTCACCACTGATGTAATGGGGTGGGAACTATTATGCTCTTTTTCTCCCTTGGGATCCAGAAGCTGATTGGTCCAGGTAAAACGTTCTTTGTGCCTATTTCAGTCTCTGGTTTAGGCAGCCTCTGGGAATTTTTTCGTAGGCTGCTGATAACTTCCTTTATGAGTTCCCATTCTATTCAGGGCTTTCTGTGCCACACAAGGTGGCACTTGTTCCCTACCTGGAACACTTTCAGCCCAGCTTTGGATTTGTTTCTGCTGAGACTCTTACCCTACCAATGCTGTATTCGTTAAAACCAGCCTTCCTCTGTAAACCACATATTACTCTATGTTGATTTTTCTTTATTTTTTAATTTCTTTATTCACTGGCCACACATCTCTTTTGTGTTTACTCCCCACTCTCCTCTGCAGGTGGCAGGACCTAAGGCATTATTTCTTATGCTCAAGTTAATGACTTTCTGTGTTCTCTCATTTTTTTGTTTTGTTTTGTTTTTACAATTCTATTATGTTTCAGTGAATTTCCTTTGTTACCTCACTAAGGAGGAGTCTTCCTGCCTTATAAATCTGGTGCTGAGGAGATGCTGGATCTGCATCTCTCTCTTCTCCACCGTCTTCTGAAGCTGTACTGTACATTTCATTTTAAACTTAAACTGATTTTATTCGGTTGTTCCCTTTGTATTGCAGATGTCCTAACGTTAAGAACTAGCTTTTGCTCACTATTTTCCACTTTGGATTCTGGCTTGTATCAAACTATCAATAAGCCATTGCCACTTGATTGAAAAAGTGAGCAGAAGGGACCTTTCACTTCATATGTGATAATATTTGTGCTCATAAACACATTGTTGAAAATACTTCCAGGAGGGAAAGGCCTGGTTGTGTGTTCTTGTGTCCATCTTCCTTTCTTGCATCCTTTGTGTCTGCCTTTTTTCTGATTGGATTTTGTGTGGCTCTTAAAGTCATGAGCCTATTGATTATTTATAGGTTCTGCCTGCAAATCATATTTAATTCATAAGCCATTGATAAGTATAATATCTTGTCTTAAGTTTTAAAAATAATTTGCTTTTTTGAAAATACCATTTGCATTCTCAGAACATTGTGAGGTATGGTAGTCTGTGCAGTAGCTGCAATTATCCTGAATACTGGTATATGGAAATATAATTATCTTGGGTCTTTATCATTGTTCAGAAGAATGGATGGCTGTATATAATTATGACCAGGTGTGCTGAATTACATTAGCTCTCTTTTCCAGATCTGTGCATTATATGTGAAGGCATCTGTCTCACTGAACTCCCTTGGAAATTACTGTCAGATCTTTCATATATTACATTTTCTTGACATTTAAGTTTTCCTAAAATGAGTTTCATGTTTTTAACAGCATTTTATGTGTATATCATGGTATCATTTCATAGCTTTCCTAACTCTTTCCATTTGCTTTGAAAACATCAATATCTACTTGCTGGTAAATATTGTTAAACATGATAAAACTTTGGATTAAATAACTGATAAAGGCACAGGGTAAAAAAAAAAAATACCTTCCATGTAGCTTCTCAGATTTTATCACAATGAAAAACCAACTTGAGATTTCTTCCTAAAGTTTCTATTAGAAATGTAATGATGTCTCAGTTTGGATCTTAATTTAATCTTACTATGTGGTTGTGTTCAGTAAATGGTCACTTAGGATTAAATTTTCATTTATTCTATTGAAAGGTTATGGGTATTTTTCCCCCACAGAGCTACAAATACTGTCCAGCTAATGAAACACTTCACAGTCAAAACTAATTAAGCTTAATTAATACATGAGTTAAATTTTCAAAACTCTTCAGGAAACACATGTAAGACTTAATCATGCACTCAGTGGAAACAATTTTAAATTATATCATTTATTCTTATTTTTATTATATAACAATAGAAAAAAGGTATTTTAGCAAGAGCACAAGATTTTAACATTCTGACATATTTGAGCCTCTGATACAACGAGAGTAAAATAATGGTTTTTATTAAGATCGTGAAAGGGGATCATTAAAAAATCCATGAATGAAGAGAGAAACTATTAGAGTGTACAAGCACTGGTTTAAAGGTATCAGACAAAAAGTCACATTTTCATCATCATCTGATAGCATAATGAATAATTAGCAGTATAAGATATATGATCATTTTCCATTTGACATTTTTTTTCCTCCATCTTCTCCAGCTGTAAGCACAAGATGTACCTGGAAAGGCTGCCAAACACCAGCGTCATCATCCCATTTCATAATGAAGGCTGGACTTCACTCCTGCGGACCATACACAGTATAATTAACCGAACCCCTGAGAGTCTCATAGCCGAAATCATTCTGGTAGATGACTTCAGTGATAGAGGTAAGATGCAGCTGATAACATTTTATCTGACATTGTTACCACCCACATAATAATCATGGAGGGCTTTTTTTTTTTTTTAACAAAGGCAGATAGTGACTTTCTGATTCCAGCTAAAAGGTAATTATGAAGTTTTTTCTCTGTTATGATTTCAGAAAATGTAGGCTGATGGGGAAAGAAACAATGAGAAGCTATTGACGTCATTTGGAGAACTATAAAAAAGTTTGTCTTACATGTAAAATAGATATTGACAAAATGCTTTGAATTTTACCTTCAGCTTCAGGATGAACATTGCAAAATGTATTATTTTAAGCACATATGAATGGCAAAATATCCAAGTGGAACTATAAAACCTGTTCCTGTTTCTAAAAAGTGTATCTACTCTATTATTTACCAAGTATGACACATTCTCCAAGCTGTGCTCCTGTTATTTCATAAGTACTAGAAATTATAAGAGACACAAACACCTATTTTCACTTGGTAAGTCTAATTATTTTATCATGTCATTGTATCTGAACAATAACAAAGTGATCTGGTATAAAAGTATATTAGAAAATTTGACATAAGTTTTAATATTTTCATAACATACGATTTTATTTATAACATGAAGGAATAAAATTATAGAAACTTTCCTAATGGTAGGACTTCACAAATCCTATTTGGTTTAAACAGGGGCAATAAAGTCCCTATTTCTTGGCTTGTGTGAGGAGAGAGGAGGAAGTCTTTCTAATGATTTTCAACTATTTGTTAGTATAATTTTCTATTTATAGTTCATTGAATAAAAGAGTTTACTTAACTCTACATCTGTGAGAATGACAAAAAATATTTTGTTTGAATATTGTCCTTATGCCTCAAAAGAGTATACATCTTAAAAGCACACGGGCTAATTAAAGTTCTAGAAATTTCATTTACAATAAAGCATTATTTTTTCATGTTAATCAAAATCTCTGTAAAAGCTAGACTGAGTGTGTTGATACTGAAGCATCTTTAACAGAGTACCCGGAGTTACCTATCAATAACTATTCAAATTTACATGACAAAATGAGGTTGTTTACCATTATTATTTTAGGGTGAAACTACCAACCTGGTCCTTTGGGCTTAGTTTTAAGGAGGATTTTCCTTGTGTAGCTTAGAATAAGAGCCAGTATCCCAAACAGAAATTTTTAGAGGTTTCAAATATCAATTTAAATAGCACAGTCTCTTCGTTTGTTTGTATTTAAAGCTACATCTTTCAAAGCAGCCATTACTAAATTAACTAAAAAAAAAGACAATGTAGGAACAAGCTAAAACTCTTTGTTTAAAAGTGAGAAGAAGAATGAAGATCTAAGGCTGCAGATCATCCAACATGATTGGTACCAGGAGGTATAAATCAGTGTATCTTTGGATAATTCTCTGCATAATAAACTTTGTCTTGGTAAACTCTTTATTACAGAAGAATTTTGACCTGGGGCAGTACACTAATAAACACTTGGTAGCAGAAAATTGTGGTTTGTAAAGCATTTTTTTTTTCTGAGTATTCTTCAGAGGGATTTTTCAATTGAAAGTGCATGAAGGTGAAAGTATGGCACCTGCATTTTCATGGCCTCAGATCACAATCCTTTTTGATACAGTAACAACTTAGATGAACCATTGTTTGGCAGGTAATGTTACCTGGGAAGTAAGTAGACTGTCAATGTAATTAACATTAGTGAAGAAGAACAGCAGAAAAAGGATTCTTTGGGACAGTAATGGTGATTTTTTTTTTTTTTTTACTTTCCTATTGAAAAATTTTAAGGTTAATCACTATTTAAATGCTTTGGTAAAGCTTTAATTTATATACTTTATTCCAACTAGCCATCAAGTCGACCGTATTATTTTATAATCAAATGTAAATTTTTAAAGAAGGTGCAAAAACACTTCAATAATCTTTTATGATACATTGTAATCTTATTATGTAAAGTAGGAAAGAGCCTCCTTCCTAATTTTCATTTGGATTATAAGATCTCATCTCATAAAAGTAGTTGGTATACCTTAGGGCTTGTGTGGACGTGAGGAGCACCACTGCTGCTTTCTGAATTTTGGGAAAATACAAAGAATTAACATAATTAACATGCATCACAGTCCCAATAGCTACTATTCACCATGTAACATTGGGTCAAGTAACTTCTCACAGTCTTGGGCTTTTTATCAAAATGGGGAGAAAGAGAGTGACTCCTAATAGAGAAGTATAATGAAGCATTGTCATAAAACCAAGGGCATTGTACACCACGCAGGAGAGTAACTGTTCTCATCTATTGATTTCCGCCACCAAATACTCCCCTATTACTATGATATAAAGAATCACTATACTTTTTGAGGAGATCTTCTTGGTTTCATCAAATCTACCTACGTACCTTTCTCCAGAAATGCATCATTTAAAGAACATGTGAGTAAAATGAATGAAAACATAACTTTCCTCTGTTCATATATAAATACATTACCAGTGAAACTCACATCATGGACAACCCCAGGAATGAGATCTTGATTAAAATAAAATTATACTCCTTGTATGTGTAATATGTCAAACACACTCTACTGTCATGTATACCTGAAAAGAGCAACAACAAAAATATAAAGGAGATGTGAAGACTAATCATGGTAATTCAATATATATTGGAGAAATTAGGACTGCTTTAATGTAAAAAAAAAATGTCCAATATATTTTACAATTATTGAAATAAAATTCTAAGAATCTAATCCTAAAAGAGATCAATCATAGCAGAATCATTCTCAAGATTATTTTCACTACCACCGGAGTACCTATCCTAGGGCACCTATTGTTTACAGGGTTTCTAAGACAGAGAAACTCTTTCTGCTCTTTTTTTAATTCTGATATATCTATATAACAATGCTGTCAATGTGATAATTTACTTGTGCCTTTTTTTTCCCCTTGGATTATGCCAGAAATCACAACTTTGTAATGCATAATGTTCTATTTACCAACTCTTTAAAAATCAGATTAAGCATCCTAGACAAATTTAGAGTAAAAGAAGATCTAAGGATTCTGTTGACTTATGTTTTAAAAAAAAATTATTTCTGAAGTGTCACACTTTGAGTTTATTTGACTTTTTAAAAAAATTTATTTCTAAATTGTTACACTTTGAGTTTATTTTCAGAAATACTTTGCAATCCCAGTTCTGTTCAGCATGCATTTTAACACCTTTGCATTATATGTCTGCCAAATACTGGGCAATATTGTTTTGCCAAGCAATACAATTTTGATAATCCTTAATGAAATATTTCTGCCTTGTATTTCCTGTCCTCCAAGTCAACAGAGTAGCTACACACAACATAATAGGAAAGCCAATTGTTTAGCCATACTATTAGCATAAGTATAATCATTCAGAATCCCTCTTTCTGACAAACCTAAGTGTTTTAGTAATTAGAAAATTCTGTAATAAAGAAAAAGACTAAAATATTTTACATATGTACAATAATTCTGAATTATTATGGTGACATTTTTGAAATTCTGCCTTAAGAGTATTGACATAGTTCCCCAAAGTTTTTTCTTCTTAAAGTCAATATCTCATCCAGTGGTTTTCAATTTGGATATTTTACATAAAGAAAACTTGGTAAACAACATATTGTTTTAGCCTCAAAAAATAAGCCTGCCTTCTCTAAAAATATGAACTACAGACCTGCAGGTAAATTTTCAACAGCCACTCCCTTTTAGGTGTTTGAAGCTTACCAAAGTAAGTTACTGTGGGACGTTTTTTTTTCCAGTAAGCTCTAAGAAATATATTTAACAACTTAACTTGAGGCCTATAACACAGCTTCATGATGATTTTAAAGCAGGACTAATCCTGGGCTTATCTCCAAATTCCAGGCAACCTTAACAGCATCCACATGGAAACTGTTGAAATGTGTGAAATAAGCTAAGGCTTAACCTCAGAGATAGGGCATATTTGAACCTGACAATTCTCTAAACTTTGTATGCTTAGATGAATGCAGGTCCAAATTGAGGATCCTCACAGGAGAGTAGCTGACACACTTCCCTTAAAGTAATGCACATATGGAGGTTCAACTCCACACCGAGGCACACACACACAAATGCTGGCACACATGCACACACTCATTTATGCTTGTTTCAAACTTTTGGGTTCAAAAACAAGAAAAGCAGCAGCAAACCAAGTTGAACATTTGAATTTTGATTTTCACAAAGATCTGTTCCTCTCCCTGTGCTAGTTGGAGGGAAAAGCCAGTGGCTTGAACTACCCTCCCAAAGTGTCAATGCCACCAAGTTTTAAGACTCTTTGAGAGTCTCACTTCTCAAGTGTGGTCCATGGACCAGCAGCCTCTTCCTCATCCTGAACCTTCTTAGCAATACAAGGCCTCAGGATTCACTCAGATAAATTAGAATCTTCATTTCAGCAAAGTCTATTTTTACAGGAATTAAAATGTAAAAACTACTATGTGTTTAAAAATTGAGGTTGAAGCTAAATGGTAATATGGATGCATAAATAGCATAACTTCAAGTTCTTAAGAAATAAATTTTCTTATTTATTAATACTGTTTAATACATAATTAACATTGAATTTGTAAGTTTAAAAAGGACCTCTTTACTATTTTATGTGACACTTTCTCATATTTGTAGACATTTTCTTTGCTTTCCTATGGATTCATATTATAGCATTTTATGTTTAATTTCAGGTTAAATGGTATTGCCCTTTTCCTTGCCACTTTTTCTTATTTGTTATATAAATAACATCTTCCAAAATTTTAACTAGTTTTTGAATCAGTCAATACTTTTGTAAGCCTAGCTCAGAAAGAGGAAAAGCTATATGCATATATCTTTTTCTATATATAAAATGTATGCATATTTACATATTTGTTAAAAATCTACATATATGTGCAATATTATATATAGAGAGATACTATAGATGTGTATGTAATTTCTACAAAGCAATAGCAAAGCAATTTCTACAAGATCAATATTACTATAAAAAAGTCATAGGCTTTTCACATGGTTGAAAGTGTTTACAAAT